AGGCCAGTCCTGCCCGCTGAAACAACCAAGTCTTGAGGGCGCGGCGGAAGGAGGGGAGATCCGGAATCACCCGGATCTCTGGGGGCAGCTCGTTCCAGAGGGTGGGTGCTCCGACAGAGAAGGCTCTCCCCCTGGGGGTCGCCAGCCGACACTGTCTGGCTGACGGCACCCTGAGGAGGCCCTCTCTGTGGGAGCGTATTGGCCGGTGGGAGGTAATCTCCGGTGGCAGAAGGCGGTCTCGGAGGTAACCAGGTAATCTCCGGTGGCAGAAGGCGGTCTCGGAGGTAACCAGGTCCAATGCCATGGTGCGCTTTAAAGATGATAATCAACACCTTGAAGCGCACTCGGAAGGCCACAGACAGCCAGTGCAGCTCGCGCAACAGCGGCGTTACATGGGAGCGACGAGTCGCTCCCATCACTGCCCGCGCGGCCGCATTCTGGACTAACTGAAGCCTCCGAGTGCTCCTCAAGGGAAGCCCCATGTAGAGAGCATTACAGTAGTCCAGGTGGGAGGTGACAAGAGCATGGGTGACTGTGCGCAAGGCATCCCGGTCCAGAAAAGGCCGCAACTGGTGCACCAGGCGTACCCGGTAAAACGCCCCCCTGGCCACAGCCGTCAGCTGGTCTTCCAGCATCAGCCGTGGATCCAGGAGGACCCCCAAATTGCGTACCCTCTCCGAGGGGGCCAAAGTTTCGCCCCCTATAGTCAGCGATGGAGTCAGCTGACCATACCTGGGAGCCGGCAACCACAGCCACTCAGTCTTGGATGGGTTGAGCCTAAGTCTATTCCACAAAGTCTATTCCACAAAGGCTTCAGGATTCATGGCATATCTTGGACCAAATTATATTTTATTCCTACCCAGTCCTTGATATATGGATTCATACATTAATACATTACTCAAATACAATGCCATTCAGCTATGGCCTCTGAAATGGCTTTATCCTGGAGACAGTAATCAATGGACCAAATAAGGTGACTCAAAGGCAAGCTCTTATTTTCGCCAAGCTATCATTTTTAAATTTGTTTGTTTGTGTATTTAATTATTTATCAAATTTATATGTCCTCTCATCTCACAGAAAATGATAAAGTTCCACTTTGAATTGAATAACAGTTGTAATAGCCATTTGAACTAGCATGGCTGAAGTAGCAATATGTATTCCCATGATTGATCTGTAAATAGCTCTTCTGATCAATATGGTCTAGTGTAGCAATTGATTGACAGAAGTATACTCGGTTCTCTGTTATCCTCTTTCTCCAGACAAAGTTAAGCATATAAGTAGCTTATTAGATGCATACTACGTCTTTGTTTGTATATCATTTATCTTCCTTCCCCCCCCAAACATATACCCAATTGTTTGGGTTCTCCTAATCTTTTTTTCCCTCGCCTTTACCTTGGATAAAGGATTGATACTTTTGTCTTTCTTTTCAAGGGCAAATTGATAATATCAGGCCCTTTGCAGCCATTCAGAACCCGAAAAAGCTACACTCCCATCAAATCTTATTAACTACTGTAGATACTGTATTACATATTGAAATGTAAAGGGAGCAATGTCCTAGATTTGGCTCCTGGCCACATATACTTTAGCAGCCCTGTATTTGAGTTTTTGATCCTCTTGCAAACTGACCTTTGATGTAGTGGGGAGATCTTTGCCCATTTTCTTAAGAATATTTTTAAATTTATTTCTCAAATTTAAGTACTGTCCATCTCACCCTCAGAGTGACTCTGGGCAGTGTACAGTTAAAAGCCTAAAAACTATACAAAAATACATTACATCAATAAAAGGAGCTTGATAAAAACAAGGATAAATAGTTAGAAGTTAAGTTAGAAGTTAAGGGTCAGGGCAAGCAGCATCAAGGCACCAACCAAATCCAGTGAGCCCCATGTGAGGTGGTAGAGCCAGGTCTTCAAACTGCTTTTAAAGGCCAGGAGAGTTGGGGCTGCCTCACCTCTAGAGAGGGCCTTCTTCCTGGATCCTGCCAGCTGAAATTCTTTAACAGACACGGTCTGTAGCATACCTTTCCTGCCTGACTAGATAGGGATGAGTCAATTGCTTGGGTAACCCGTCCCCATATTTAAAAAATAACTGTGAAGATGTTCTAAGCCTGCATTATTCTGCAAACCACCATTCTCTTTCCCTAGTTCCCAGGTGTTCATTGTAATATACAGACTTTGGAAACAAAAATTAATACTGTAATGTCAGGACTGAAGCCATTAAGTGAAATGTTCAAAGCTTCAAACTTCTTTTCCCATTGGTTTTCTCACAGTGACACTTTCTTCCTGCCCTGGTATAGCTTTTATATGTTGTCATTGCCTATCTTCCAGTGGGATGCTTTTACCTGATGTCCACCCAATAACTCCAACATAAAAAATATATAAAGATATCCCACAGCTAGTACAGCTTAACTGTGAAGTAGGAAAAGTTGAAAAAGTCAAAGAAGCTGATAAAAATAGAATGCATTCTATAGAACATGGGTCCTCAACCTTGGCAACTTTACGACTTGTGGACTTCAACTCCCAGAATTCTGGCTGAGGAATTCTGGGAGTTGAAGTCCACAAGTCATAAAGTTGCCAAGGTTGAGGATTCATGTTCTATAGTACCACCTGCTACTCTGTAGCATGAGGCATGTGACTAAGGAATCATCCCCTTCTACTTGGAGAGATAGATCACAGAGAGATAGATCAGTTTCACACTCCATTTTTAAAAGACAAAAAGGCAGCGCGCTGGTTCACCTGGTTAGGACACTGGGCTGATGATCGGCAGCCTCTCGTTCGAAACCCAGTTACTGCCATGGACCTGGTTGAGTTCCCATCACTCACTCCAGCTCCTGCCAACCCAGCAGTTTGAAAGAGAGCAACCATGAGTAGACAGTTGGATATAACTTGAGTGGGCAGCTTAATAAGGACATGAAAGGAGCATCCAACTGAGTGTCGCCCTGAGCAATGGTGGTGTCACCAGTTAATCCTCTCAGCCCAGAAGGCTTCGGTGCTGCTGACATGATTGTAGTAGTAAAAGAGAAAAAAGTAATAACTTTCTGTGGAAAAACATCTCAAGTACAAGAAAAAAGTGCAAAAAAAAAAAATTAAGATTCTGAACAGATGGCATTGCTTCATGATGGCATTGCTTCATTATTTAAACATACACTGAGCTTGCACTGTGAAAATATTCATTAGAAACTACGTACATATCCACCTACCATCTAAGTGACATTCAGCTGACAGTCTGGAGCAAGAAGTGCATCTTTATATTTTCATTTGTCATGGCTTGTTTCTTACAGATATTCATTCTATCCAGTGTATGAGAATTCTGAGAATACATTGCATTCTGCTTGTACTGGCCTATAACATCAATAAACTGAATTGAACACCCATATATTACTAAAAATGTGTTTAA